AATCTATATAATAATAAATAAAAACAATAATTTAACCAGATCACACTCTAGTTTTCCTCAAAACTACCATCAAATTGGCTGGCTTCTGTCATTTTACATTACCAAAAAAATCTTGCACACTTTTCTTATTGGAAAACAAATATCAAACTCTCAATGATAAATACAAAAACCGAGTACTATTTAATGACATCCAAAGAAGCATTAGCACCTAAAGCCTTTAGTATGCATCTTGAAAGAAAATTTTTATCTCAGCTTTTTATAAAATGATATGCAATGTTGCAATTATCACCTGAAACACACAATACACAATTGCACACTTTAACGTACCAAACAGTGTTTGAAAATCCCAAAGGCAAGGATTCTGCCAAGATACTACACTGGTATGAGCACATGCATTTTTTGTTCAAGTGTGTGGAAATCACCACTGTTCTACAAATCTTAAAAAAAATATGTTTTCATTTTCTCAGAAAACATCAGTACAAAATCAACAATTCTTTTAAATATACTATCAAAATATTCCAGTCAATAACAAAAATAAACCTCAAGACTTAAATTATTTCTGAATCAATACCTGAAAGTTATATATACTCCTGAAAAACAGCCAGTCATTTTCAAAATAATTCTTCTCATCCTAAAAATCTTTTCACTTGCAGCTTTTATGAAACAGCCCTGTACTTACCGTTTGCACCAAATTAAATCGCTGATTTACAATCTGCTCAGTGTATTTCCTATATGCTGCATCTTTCGGAATGGCTTGCAGGACACCAAGGATTTTTGTGTACAATATTCGCAGGCGCTGAAGTGATCACAAGACATGGTTAAAATACACAAAATTATTCAACTTGTTGTCTTACTTAACCTACTAGCTAACTATCTATACACAAAATATAGATGGTTATGGTATTCAATGCAGAAATGCAGGATTAACAAAACTAAGTCTGAACCACAGAACTCCGTCTTGGGTAAGACTGGGATTTACAGGACTGAGAAGTTACCACTGTCAGATTCCTTGAAGAAAAAAAGGGAAAAAAATAAAGTTGCATCAAATGTGTAAACAATAAAAGTTGTGTTTCTAATAGTAACCAGGGAGACCTCATTGCGGCCTTCCAGTACTTGAAGGGAGCCTATAAACAGGAGGGGGAGCAACTATTTACAGGGGTTGATAGTGACAGGATGAGGGGGAATGGTTTTAAACTAAGAGAGGGGAGATTTAGGTTGGATATTAGGTAGAAAGTTTTCACTCAGAGGGTGGTGAGGCACTGGAACAGGCTGCCCAGAGAAGTTGTGGATGCCCCATCCCTGGAGGCATTCAAGACCAGGCTGGATGGGGCCCTGGGCAGGCGGCTCTAGTGGTTGGCAACCCTGCCCACAGCAGGGGGGTTGAAACTAGATGATCTTTGAGGTCCTTTTCAACCCAGGCCATTATATGGTTCTATGATATGATTCTATGATTTTAAAGAATGAGGCAAATTTATGTCTAAACCATCAGTTTATGAAGAATTACCTGGGAAAGATATAAAGAAGCACATAAACTACCACAGCTAACTAGACTGATTTTTTTTGGCACGTCTCCTTGTGCTGATGCAAAGTTCTGAGCAACAGAGAGATTGAAATTAAACTAAAACCTGAAACTTTTATTGCTAGATTTAAATTCAGTGAAAAAGGACAAGTTGAAGAAATTGCAGCGTTTGGGCCCTATGTTGGCCGGGTAACTGTATTTAACTGAAGACAAATGGATGTCCTATAGGAACAATAAGAAATGGAAGCAGAATACTGTAAAGAAATACAAAGAAGAAAAAACAGGCAACAGAAGAGGGACTGTCACTGAATCTATACTTCAACTTGTTGATTTCTTTACTCTTGGCTTTAAGTCACTGAAAAAAAAATTACTAATTTAACCCAGAACGTGTCTGACAAGACTGTAGACTTAGCTAGAATAATTTGTACAGAACAATAACAACTTTTTCAACATTTCTTTTACAGACTATTCCTAACTCTTGGTGGCAAAAGCATTTTTGAAATAGAATCATTGAATAATGGGAAATTTCAAAGCACGGAGAAATTACAGAATTAATGATGTCCTTTCAAAGTTCATGCCTCCTGAACAAGCAAGATGTGGCAAACATACTTTCGTTACTAAGCCTAAAGAAGTAAAAAGAAAGTACCCAATTGCTACAAGAACCACCTAACAAGGTTCCCAAGAACCAGTGAAGTATTCCAATCTCAGTGCTTGCCATCACAGGGCCTTGATGTGGCTTTGCACCACAGGTTAGCCTCCATCATGTAAGACTAGCCTATTCCCTTATTTCAGTACTTGCTGGAAACACAACATAGCAAGGCAGCAAAAATCCATATGCTTGTGAAACAGAAATTACATTTATGAAGAACTGCATTTGAAGAGTTCTTTGCTTTTGCACTGGAGATGAGAGGGGTGAATCAAAAAATAGTTCATAAAAGTACTTACACAACGGAAGTTTTTGAAAACAATACATGCAACAAGAAGTACACATGCAAAATAACTCCTAATGATATGAGTTAAACCTTTAAGAATTAATTTTCTTCCTTTATCACTCTGGAACGTTTTTACACTTTCATGGAGTTGGCACTGCTTTAGGGTACACAGCATACCTGCATATGCAGATCCATAACAAAAAACTTTGATCTCACTGACAACTTCAGTTAAATACGGAACAAGACGTGTAACATACCTCATGAGGGTTTTCAGCTACAGCCAATCCTACAAGTCCAGTGGTCTGCACAGAGAGCACAAACATATTTAATACACCTAAGCATCTATTTCCATGCTATCCGATTATTTTGTTTCGCTTCCACATACATCTGCCAGGGACCATTCCGTGATACAAGCGTCTGCCTCCCACCGCACACACGCGATCCCACTGATTTGCAGTGTTTTGACCAGCGCACACGAAGGGGAGAGGGCGAACAGAGGGCGCAGCTCACGGTACAAAGCGGCTGCAGG